TTCTTACATCACTGGTTTCATTGTCAAAAAGTTGAAGCAGAAGATTACATGCATGCCTTGCTCACAGGCACTGACATCGGATGAATCGGTGCATCCACTCTTGGCATTGAAGGACAGAGGTGGATTACAGAAACCATCACAAGGCATCACTGCAGTTTGCCATGCAACAGAAAGATGCTTCCAGCGGATTCTTAAAGCCAATGAAGGAAAGGCTCCACGTGGAAGAGGAACTACAGCAGCCATTGTTGCCCAGGTTGTCACTGACTGCTCAGAGAAAAATCTCTTCCCGCAGCTGCACAGCCACATGTTGGACATGTGTGCTGAAAGTAATCATGTCCATGTTCTTGTAAAGATGGCTTCTGCGTGGTACTGCAAAATTAGATTAAATCATGTAGCACGGCAGGAGACGGACCGGATCAAAGAAGGCAAAACTGTCCGCAAGAAGCTCACAAAATTAATCCATTTTTATGGAGATTAGAGAAAAGCTGTCCTTGTCATATATTTTAGTCTGTCTGTACATTTTGTTATGTGCTTGTCAGAAGTTGTGACCATGAACATTTTTCTGATATTTGCAGACAGAACATAACACATGAAGAGCCTTCCTTTTATTGGACATCCTTTTAAATGTTACTTAGAGCCTGCATGAACGGGGCCTAAGTATACACTGACGAAGCTCATTATCCTTGAAGTTTGACCCCAACATACAGGATGCTACACTAAGTTGTAAATGGACTTTAAACAGTCAGGCACTGTTTCATTTACTGTTACATATATGTTACTATCTATCCCTTAGAGCCTGCATGTACGGGACCTAAGGTGATATTCTAACATTTATGTAAGTGAACACTTGATAAAGTTCAGAGTAAAAGTTACAACATGCAAAATGCATATGCAACCTTCTCAGTTTTCTGAAATATATTTGATGACAAATTTCTTGATAGGTTGATGTTACATTGAAGAAAAACAGAAACTATCTTAAAACCAAAATCATTTTGATATGTTATTGCACAGATAAGCTGTATTGTTGAATCCCAGCAATATGGAGTTTTTGGTTTGTTTGTTCTATTTTGTTCCTAGCAGGTATTAACTTTCTCTCTGCGGTGGAGTTCCTGCCACCTCCCCCAGTTTCAGCTGCTGAACGTCATCATCTTATCTGAAAGTAAGATTTAAAAGACGCTATCATCTTTGGTGATCTCACGCCTACAAAACATCCTTTGTTCTAATGGTGAAATTAATTGAAGCTGATCTTTAACCTGCTGACCTCTATAACTTTATTCCTGTTCCTACTTACAAAGAAACCCCTGTGCAGAGTCCTTCAGACACCTAAGTGATCATCTAATCAAAACAACGGCTCCCACATAACAGAGAATAACGATGCAAACGAACCATGAGGAGGTAGGGAGGAGGTGTTTTGCAGGTGACAGATTCTGCTTATCAAGCAACAACAGACAGCTACAATAAAGCCTGATTCATGCTTCTCCGTCAGCTCCAACAGGGAGAGACACACACGCATGGACGGAGATGTTTTGCCCTCATGCTTCTCCGTCTCCTGGGGTTTATATTTTGTTTTTTTGTACATAAGAGACTTTTTAACAGACAAATTTGTCTCTCATTCTCGTCCACCTCTTCATGCACTCGCCACCTCTAAACCCACATTTCCCGTCATTTCCGTCCACAAATAAAACGCTTGCTACATATCTTTTCACTCCTCCAGTCACGGGGAATTAAAACGTTCATGTTTTAGAGGGTTTTTTTTGCGAGGTATGTATGTATGTATGATAATTGTTCAGTTTTCTCTTAGATGTTCAGTTTTCCTGCTGTGAAATTCTAGTTTACATTTTGTTGTGAATAAATTTGCTCCATTAGGAGCCAAATTAATCCCTCTGTATGATTTTCCCTTATTTTGAACAGATAAATATATTTTGGGGGGATTTTTCCAAAAAACCCTCAAAAACATATTTTTATTAATAGAAAGACTTTCTAATATCAGTTACAAATGAGGGAAAAAGAACCTAAGGTGAAAACCAGAGAATTTCCTAACGGCTCAAAAGGTGCCCAAAATGGTCCAGGAGAGATCTGGATCTGGATTTCTATCAACTAAATCCTCTCTAACTTTTCTATACTTCCTTTTTGTTCATGATTTTTGGGTCAGCAAATGTTCAGACCCTATTCTGTGGATTTCTAGATGTTTTAGGCTGCAACTCGGTATTTTAGAAGGAATTTTAACATCATAAAGTGGATTTTTTTTACGCTGAACAGATTTTTTCCTCATTTCTGCTGTGTTCCTGACCCTGTTACTCTCAGTCAGTGGCATAAGTGATGCTTTTTAGGATTTTAGAGTAAACTTTAGACTCACCTTCATTTTGATACCAAAACAGCTCAAATAAACCTTGTAGTTTATGAGATATACTCAAATCATTTGGGGCACGTCTTTTTCAAGAAAATCTCAGAAAAACGGCATAGGGTTAAAACATGTGAGTGAGATGCAGTACACCAGCTTTCTCATGTTTAGAAGGTCACCCTGTTTTCTAGGTGGACCCTGAACCCTCACACTTCTGTCCTTTATGGTGGACTTTCACATGTCCAGTGGACGTTTTACAGTCCAGAAGAAATTCATGTCAAAGTGAATTTTTCAAACTCAAACTTGATCCGCGACAAATGTGGTTAAAGTCTGTATTTAACCCTTTACAGGAGCCAGCTACTATATTTAGACACTTATAATTACAGGAGTTCACCCAGATAATCATCAGAGATGAAGCTAGTCACAGTCTGACCAACCAGTGTGGGTCTGTGAGGCGCCACAAAGTTAGTCTGTCTGCAAAACCGAAAAACTTCTCGGTCTCTCCTCGTGTTTAAAGTCTTTTTGGAATGTGAAATGGAACCAGAGGACATTTAAACACACACACACCCTGGGCAATAAACTTAACCCATCTGGCCTGCTGGTGGTGGTCGGAGCGACCATGGACGCAAGTGTATGGCAGGTATCGCCTCTGTTAATGCACCCCAGGTCAACTCAGCTACATCGTAGTTCATTCCCACTAGCGTGTGAATGTGTGTGAATGGGTGGATGGCTGATTGTGTTGTAAAGCACCTTGGGGGGTTGTAGAACCAAAAAAAGGTGCTATACAAACATAGGCCATTTATCACTTAGGTAATGCTATATTTAATATTTTTAAGATATTCAACATTTCTGCTGTTAGCTGCTCACGAGCTTCCTCTTTAGCTGACAAAGTCCACTTGCTGACTTAAAGGAGCATGGGGCAGGATGAAGAAACTAAACTCATTAGCGACGCACTCGGCGCTGTGAGTAACTGCAGCCCGGCACGAGAGCGCGCACAAACTCTTCACTAGAAAAAAAAAGTTACAGTGACGTACGGCCAGAGCGCGGCTCGAACAAGGCACCGTGTAGAGCGATGAAGTAAGTAACATTGTTACTTTAGTCTAATATTTGTATAATTCCATGACATTAGCATTTTAATTTAGCCATGACACTCGTGATGCCCCGTTATTTGCATTTGCAAGTGCTCCTTCCTAAGAAATATTCATAAGCCAGTTTTGTGACTGGTTAGCAAGACAGTAACATGATGCTACTTTATCAGCATAAGGCTTTGTGGCTGCAGGTGATTTCTGATGTTTTTAGACCAGTTACAGTTATTATTTTGCACTAAGCTTACTAACAAGCTAATGTTATTGTTTATACATCATAGGCTGACATCATTTGTGAAACCAATTTCATTGCAGGACAGGCATCACAACAATGTAAATAAGAACATAAATATCAATGTTTAGTTAAAAAATGCATCAAAATAAAATCATAATATCAACAAGACCAACAGGGTAATAGTCATTTTTATCATTACTGTCATTGATTTTCAGGAATTCATATTGGAAGGAGTGATGGAAGACAGTTCAGATGGAGTATGCCCGAGCCTGCCACAGACTTTGATGTGTCGTGGGAAAGTTTGAGACCAGGGGCTAAAGGAAAGGGGAGAGGAAAAGGTCGCTCCGAGGGTCGGGGAAGGACACGCTCAAGGGGTGAGGGCAGCAGGTTGAGGTCCAGAGCTCCTTCAAGAGGACCAGGGCGCCGGGGTAGGCAGCGAACAGCTTTCAGAGAAGAGGACCGAGACCGGCTTGCACAGCTGAGAGCTGCCAGTATAGCTGAGATGCAGGTTGGTTGTAGCCATTTGTGTAAAAAAATAAAATAAAATAATAGATGCCAAAAACGAAAACATCACTTACTGGAGATATGAATCTAGTCATGTAAACATATGCTCTTTAATTTCTAGACAGCTTTACAACACCTGAGCCAGGAGGAGAGAGATTATATTTTCGAGAGAGTGGTGATCCATCTTCCAGGGGTGATGCTGGATATCCTGGAGTTTCAGCAAGAGACGCCAGGACACCGTCTTCCTGACTGAGGGCACCCTAACCCAAAAATCCTAACCGTTTATCTACAACTACAGTAGTTCCAAAACAGCACAATACCTCAAAATAACTTTAGCTGAAGACAGCATTTTCACCCAAAAATAAACAGTTTGTGCAATATATTTATTTTTATTTATGTACAAAAAAACAGTTCTGTTATTTGCATTTGTACATAGTATTTTTTCTTAATTTCTAATAAATCTGTGTGCATGAAAGAAGTCATTCCTGTCTTTTGATGCTTCACGTAGCTGGGGCCTTTATGGAGAGGAGAACAGCAGCATTAGATCATACATAGATTACATGAGAATGCAATTCTGGAAACTCTCCAGTTCTGAAGTTGACCTGTAAAAAAAACAAAAGCTACAACTTTATAGATTATTAGGAATCACACTTTTGATTGCCTTTTCACCCACAATTGTCATTTCTATATGCAAATTGTCAGCTTTGATATTGACACTTTAGCGTTTTTGCTTATGATAATGTTATTAATATACATAAAGGTCAGATTGGTGACATCCTTCAACCAGCGTCTGTTGAACATGATTCGTTGAAGAGCCTCGTGTGGTGGAGATAATGGCACCATGAGCTCTTTATCACTGGTCGTTGCATCAAGTGGTCCATGGTCACATTTGCCACGGGTCCATTCGTGCTTCCCTGTGACATGGTGAAGCACACCCACCCACATGTCCTAACAGAAAAAATAAGTTTTATTTGAAAACTTTGCATGTGACAGAAGCGCTCACCAACAGAAACACGAGAGCTGGCACTATTATGAAAAGAAAGGTAATTATGTCAATGTGCATTGTTGTCTTGTTGTCCAAAAGATGTCACAATACTTACATTAAACATATCACGATGTTGTGCTTTCTGGCAAATGTACCAAAATTGGTTGAAGATGTCATTCAGCCACACAAGTAGGATGGAAATTCCCTTTAGGATCCCAGCCTGTGAACAAGGATAAAACAACAATTCCATCTTTTAGTTCTTTTTAAAACATAGAAGGGTTTTATTTACCTGCAACGTTTTGTTTGCGGCTGCAAACTTCGTCAGCCTGACAAAGTTTTCATAACAGTTCTATTCTGTTATGAAAACAATAAATAAAAGTAGAATTAATATATTGTTTAAAGACTTTGGAGTTTAAAAAAAAGAGTGTAGATAAGAATAGGGCTGGGCAATATGGCCTCAAATCTATATTGCGATATAATCTGAAGCATGTGCAGTAACGATATATACTGCGATATATTTTTTCATCTGTTTATAGATGTCAAATTGACATGCTTTTAGATATCCTCATGTGGCAAATATATGCCACTTGAGGCATACAGGCCTCCTCCTCCGCCCACTCCATGCTTGCAGTCACCGCCATTCTGTTGTCCCATTGTCAGCAGGGTGCACATCTTAGTGACGTCATGTGTTATCACAATATCGCCGTATTGCGATATAGCCAAAAACTATCATTACCCAATTTTATATCATTTCTACCTTATATCGTTTATATTCCCCACCCCTAGATCAGAAGACATTGCAACTCACACACTGTTGAGTAAGTTGTTTGCTTGGTCCTCATCAATTTGGACTGCATCCGTAGCTAGATCCATGGATTTGAAACTACAGACAACACAATAATATTTGTTGTACGTAAAGATAAATACTGGAACTTACCTGAAATGGTACTGATTCTAAAGAGATAAATGTGGAGCCTAATACATCTGTCATTAATTATTTCTGCAAATAACAACAATCTGCTGTGAACTGACACTTCACAACATAAATAAATATATATAATGACCTATATTTGCTTATCTATTGTGTTTTTATCTTTTTTGCACATAGTACAGCAGTCATTTCCTGCGTATATGGCAAGACTTCTCATGAACAAATTTACCTTTCTTTAAAAGGATCCAAATCTAGGTCATCAGCTAAGGCCTCAACACCAGCCATTAGAAAATCTTCCCTGTAAAGATAATGTCAGAAGTGTTTGGTGGTGTGATGTTAGTTCTGAACCAAGTGTGGATATGCAAGGTGTAATGTAATGCATGAAATATCATAGCACAAAAACGTGAATACTTGTTTTACAGAAAAGATACTAACCCCTCAGACACAGGTTCAGTTGGAGATAATCGATGCAACATTTTAGCTGCTGTTCGCTTACTGGGTGTTGAGGTTGACTGCACATTACCTCCCTGAATTGCAGTTTCAGGAGCCTGCTTCTCCTGGTAGCTGGAAAACACATTTTTAAACAAAAATGTCAACAAGTTGGTTGAGACTCTACACCTTCTGTTTACATAGATCAATAATGGCTAAGCTTCTTTACCTGTGGCACAACTAGTAATATGAAAATGCATGTCAGTCATAAAAAAATTTATTTATCATTTTCACAAACATATTTTATTCTGACCTACATTCAACTGGACAAATTTAGAAAAATAAAAACAAACTTCTGCACAACTTTACTTTTAGTCAAACATGTTGTTATGGCTGACTTATTATTTATTCTTATGTAGCACAGCAATAGCGCTAGGAAAATATATTCTGATGGGGTTCTGTTACACAAACCCCACGAATAACATTATCTACTGAAGTAACAGTCCAGCTTAGAGGTTGGACTGTAGATCAAATATGACATAATTCTAAAGACTCATCTTTGGTTTGGAAAATGTCCGTTCTCTTCTGTGGTACATACAAACTGAAACGTGATCGCAGCTAACATGCTACGCACGCTAGCTCTCTCCGGCTGATCGGTGACGTCATATAATCAAATCAAGCTCTGTTTACTTTTCTCGTCAGAATAAACGGAACATCCATTTATCTCCAAACACATGCGGCGTGTCGTCCACAAAACATAGAAGTGATCCGGTAACTCCTTGGTTGCTTTTAGCTTTTTCAAACTGATCAGGAAGCCATATGCTAAACACCGTTAGCTTAGATAAGTTTCTTGTTCATCTGCACAAAGATTTGTTAGATTACCTAAATCAGCATTATCTAAATCCATAAGTTTTATTTTATTTTCTCAAATTGTGCAGATACAGCTCTGATATGTTTACCTACTCGTTACTGAAACCTACAGCAGAAATAAGGAGACCAAAACTTACCTGGTCACTAGAAAATGTGCCATGTCCGCATCCTTTTTCAGGCCCAAATCCAGTTGAAGCAGCCTCCATTCTTCCAGAGCGTAACCAATAGATATTCGGGTCCCTGACCGACTTTTATCATATTTTCTTTTTGACTCTCGAGATGCCGCTGATAAAACCTTCTTCTTTGTGCCACTCTTTAGTGGGCTTTGAGTTGTGCTTGGTCGTTTGCTAGTTGTAGAAACCATTTCCAGGGTTCTTCCTCTTCTGTTTGGGGTTTTAACGTGGCTAGTAGTGAAAGACGCGTTACCGCCACCTAGCAAGCTTCCAAATGTTTTTCCGGGTTTGAACCTTGTCGAGAACGCGCTTGAAGCGTCAATTAACGTCACATCCGTAAAACAGCGCGGGAAATTTGGATCAGGAATGTTTTGCATTTTGCAGCACACAGCCAAAATGGAATGATAAACTGGTTTCATCATTCTTTTTAGTTTAAAATGCTTCATCACCCATAAGCTTCTCAAGAATGAACATGTACTTTTTGTTTTTGGACAATTCCTGCCCCATGCTCCTTTAAGGTAGAACTCTAAAAATTAGAATATTTCCATTTGTTATAATTGTGATGATTCTGGCTTACAGATGATGAAAACCCCACATTCACAATGTCAGACAACAAGTATATTACATGAAATCAATGAAACAATAATTTTAAATAGAGAAATGTTGGACATCTGAATAACTATAATCATGTGTACTCAGTACTCGGTTTGGCCCCGTTAGCTTTTACTGAAATGAATTCATCTTTGCACCACGCTCTAATTTTTGGAGTTTCACCTGTAACTATTTTTTGTGAAAATATATACAGCATGAAATAGACGTGGTGGGGAAAGTAACCAGAGCTTCACTTTAAAGGCAAAGATTTATGATGTCACACCTGCTGTTTCACATTTCTATGAAGCCGCTGGCCAGAAAGATGAAATCATAACTTCACTTTAAATTTTTTAATATATTTTGCAAATCTTGACATTTTAGCTCAGTTTCAACTTCACTTCAGTTCAAAAGCAATTCAAACAGTATTTCTGACACGGTTTTGGGGATGAGTTTAACCCAAGACATGCAGAATTCACCTCTCACGAGTCAATTAGAAAAATTAAAGAATTTTATTTTTTTTAAATCGGGAACTGAGGGCGTACTGGATAAGGTCCAGTGGGGATTGCAACGGAACTGCAGCGTCTGAGGAAAGGAGAGCAGAGGAACAGGTGAGTCCAGGGAGATAAGTCAAAACTAGGAAGGTGCTGAGTAAAGACTTACAGGAAGCTGGGGGCTGAGGAATTGGGGAGGGTAGGTGGAGTGCCGGGGTAATCCAAGAGGGGGTGTCAAGGAGAGGGGGCGCGAGGAGAGCAGGAGGGCGGGTCAGCTGGGAGGAGAGGAGAACGGTGAATGCTGCTCCAGGAGATTTATGGGGCACAGGTGAGTAATCCAGCGGGATGGTGGAGATGTCCAAATAGTCAATCAGAGGAGCCACAGGAAAACCAGAGAAGCTCCAGAAGCTTCAGAAGTCCAAGGAGATCCCGAGGAGTCAAGGTAAGGTCCACAAATGATCCAAAAACCTGGGAACAGGTAAGCACAAGTATGTCCACAAGGGTGCTAAAATCCAAAAATCACTAGAGTTAATCGGGAGACACAAAGGGCTGGAACTACCAAGTTGTAGTTAATCATCCGGCGTCAAGATGTGTTCTCCTCCTCCTCTTATAGCTGGACCCACTGATTGTTAATGAGCGGCAGCTGGAGCCTCCCTCTCCTGAAACACAGCAGCTCAAAGATGGAACAAAAATGAGAGGCAGAGGCTGTAATAACTTTGACTGATGCTAAACTGTTAATATATCCATAACAGTGAAGACACCGAGAACCGCCGACATGTTCAGTCTACACGATCTTTATTTCTCCCCGCACTTCCGCCACACACTCCATTTCACCATCTCCCCACTAGGTGGCACCATGGTACTACCAAATATATAAACTGGGCCCGGCTGAACAGTATATTGTTTCATCCCTCTAATACAGGGGTGGGCAATTATTTTTTCCATGGGGCCACATGAGAAATAGAAAATATTGTGGAGGGCCAGGCCAAAAGGCTGAAGTCAATTATGCATAATATTAATGGTATTTCTTTATAAAAAGCAGTAAATACCATCGTTTTTTCAAGCTGGTAAGAGTAGACTATATGTTATAAATGAGCAAAAAGGAAAAAGTGAGGTTGGCTACAAAAATGTGATTTATTCAAATTTCCCAAGGCAATGGTAAACAATGTGTGCCCATTTGGTTTTTGATAAACATTTGTAACTTATATTAGTTAACAGTTTCAGTCACATTCACTCCAAAACACATTTTGAGTTTCAAATATTGTTGGAAAAAGGTTCTTAGCATTCTACAGACACACAGTATTGTCTGTAAAATAAAATCACTGAACTGTGATCTTGAGAAAGAGGTTTAAAAAAAGTGTCCCAGTTCACTGCTAGTTGCCTACATTTGTGGTCCAAACACCTTATTTTGTGTTTTTAAGCGATTTTTTTCTTATTCAATGAGAGAAATCTAGTCTCTGCTGGGCTTTAACGAGTGCATCAAAGTCAGGTTGAATGTCTGAGGTGGAGATGCGAAGCACAGCTGACAAATGATCATCAGTGAGAGAGGATCTATACCTGGATTTTGTAAACTTCATCATTGAAAATGTTTGTTCACAAATGTAGGTAGAGCCGAAGAAAACCAACATCTTCTGAGCATGTCTCCTCTGGTTTGGAAAGTTCTCCTCCTTAAGAGAAGAGTAGAAATCCAGCAGAGATCCTGAATCTCTGCTTTCGAGTCCCAAACCCTCTTCAGCACTTTCCCCAGGCTGAGCCATCTGACAGCTGTGTGGAGTCCTCCAAAAGAGCGAGAAACTGTCTGTGATTCATCGCCCGCGCCCTGATGAAGTTTATTATTTTAGTAACAACATCAGTAACATGGTTGATTTTTAGCACTGACTTGCACAACACATGTTGGTGTATAATTCAATGCAAAAACACCAATTTTTGATCTGCATCCATTTCTGTCACTTTATCTTGCATGCATTTCAAAAGTCCGACATTTTTCCCTGTAAGATTTGGACAACCGTCTGTTGTGACACCTGACAGTCTCTCCCATTTCAATCCCAGAGTGTCCATGCACGCATTTACCTCTGTAAAAAGATCACTCCCTGTCGTTGTCCCTTTCATCGACCGCATTGCTGCCAGCTCCTCTGTGAGCTCCGTTATCCCCCGGACATCACAGCTCTCGTCTAAGGCCAATGAGAAAAAGTCCAAACTTGCCACTTCACGTTGCAGCTGAAGCTCCAGGTTCCCCACGGTTCACCTAGACAGCGGGATTTGCTCAAATGCACCTTTTTTTTCAGGGCATATTAGTGCGGCAGAGTCCACCATGCACTCTTTGACAAACTCTCCCTCCGAAAACAGCTTGCTGTTTTTAGCTATTTTGTGGGATATCACAAAGCTGGTCCTGGTTGCTGCATCCCTGGATGTGTGAAGCTTAGTAAAAAAGCTTTGCTGCTTTTGCAACTTTGCTAGCAAAGCTTCGGATGTCCGTGCCCTCTTAGCATCAGACGAGTTCTTGTATTTTTCCGAGTGTTTCTTGTCGTAATGCCGACTCAAATTGTAGTCCTTAAACACGGCAATCTCCTCCCCGCAAACCAAACACACGGCTTTACCTCCGACTTCAGTAAAAAAATACTTAGCAGTCCAATTTTTGTTGAAAATCCTGTATTTGGCATCTTTCTTTTTTTTTTTTTTTTTTTTGCATGAGCGGACATTTCTCGGGCTACAATCACCATGTCAACCACGGGCACTTGTTGCTATACGTATTGCGTCATTGTGCACGTGAAAAACAACTTCAAAATAAAAGCAATGCAGCCTTAGCCCATGCATGAGGTAAAATGAGAAAATACATTTATTTTGTAATTTCCAATTAACCTTACGCGGGCCGTCAAAGTCAACCAAAGGGCCGTATGTGGCCCGCGGGCCGTAAAATGCCCAGGTCTGCTCTAATACCTAATATATCACTATATTACACTCCTCCCCCTTTAACCATGAAGTTCCCCCAATGCATCACACGTTTTAAATAACATTAACCGTAACCAAATTCCTGCCAAAACACAAAGCCTAAACATACTCCATCACTGCTGCTAATGCCACAGATTTAACTTATACATTTTCATTTTCCAACAGGAACTCTTTTTTTTTTAAACATTTTCCAACAGGAACTCTTTTTTTTCCCAATTGCCAACAGGAACACTTTTATTTTATTTTTCATTTTCCACAGCTCAACCTGATCATAAGTTCAGTCGTTTGGGAGGTGCCCTCTCCCTCCGAGGGTATCTGCGCTCCAACACCTCAGTAGACCTGGCTGCACTGTTGGCAGGTGTCACTGACTTGTCAGCAGCCGCTGAAACCGGTAACTGTGTTACGGGCATGTCCTTAGCCTGCGTCTGTGGTAATGGTGTAGCTTCAGGTGAGTACGGGCTACCACCTACTGTTCCAGGTGTGCCTTTCCCCCCCAAATCTGGCTCGACCACTGCAGGGTAGTTATCCTGAACCTCCGTCTGTTGCTCCTGGAACTCCATTGTCTCTGGACTGGATGGCCGCTTATACAGCAGATGATCAATGTGCACAGACCGTCGATTTACTCCGTTCCACACCCAGTAAGTGACTGGTCCCAGTCGCTTTTCCACGATTCCCTCAGTCCATCTCTCCCTTCCTCCGCGGAAATTTCGTGGAGGCTGGTCGGCCATGGTAGTATTTTTGTTTCTGTTGTTTGCCTTCCACAACTTTAGCAAGATCTGGTTTCAGCAGGGAGAATCTGGTCCTAATCTGATGTTTTAGGAACAGTTCAGCGGGCGTACCTCCTGTAACACTGTGTGGTGTACACCTGTAAGAAAATAGGAAGTTTGCAAGTGTAACGTGAGGAAGTATGGGTTTTTATGCCAAAGGTCGTATTTGCCCGGCTGGGTCAAAGCTGGGTCACGCAGCACCTTCACCCACAGATTAAGACCTAAGCCACCAGCAAGTCTGAAGGACTCCACAACATCCAACACCTGCTCTCCAGAAGAAGGACTTCACACACAGTCTAGTCATAATAAAACAGAGTCTTAATCTTTCTTTATGTTATTAATGTTAAATAATCATTTTGTCACTTTGCTCATTATAAATGTATTTTAATCAAATGAATGATTATTATGCTTTGGGTAATCATAATGAACTATAATGAATCAGTATACTTAATTAAATAATGTTTTTGAAGATGTTTAGCGATGACCTTCACACCTGCTCATACAGGTCCGGATTCACAGTAACTTCAAAACACATTTGCTCTGACGCACAACAAGTTTGCTTTGGGAAGAGAAGTGGTTTGAGTAAGGAACAGAACGAGAGAGAGCTAAAGAACGAAGAGAGTTGTGCGGAATGAACGCCACCGGGAAAGGAGCCCTGCAGGCTCCTGTTCTCCCACCACGCTATTTCTGTCAAGCCAGACAGAATAGCTGAAATGCAACTCGCTAACGCAGACTCGTGCCAGAGTCTTTTGATTTCTGAGTTAATTTAAACATGAGAAAGCGCATCTGCCAAAACGCTTCAGCAACGTGTACCGAGGTCAACTCTGGACTGGACCGTCGCACACCTTCGTCTTCTCTGTCAGCCAAGGTGTCATCTGGAGAAACATCCTCCTGAGGTCCGGATCTAAAAGAGGGTCCTAAGTGCGGTGAGGCAGAACATGACCAGATAGCGTTCTGATGCTGTTTTTCTAATAAGAACTAAAGTTTAATTGCAAAACATCATTTTTCACTCAGTTCACCTTCCCTCTCCCTGAAGCAATCTCAGACACCTGCATGCACGCATTCATAATTCCATCATCCTCAAATCTTAGCACATCCAACACAAGGTCTATTTGAGTAAGCTTAAAATATCAACTGTTAAAGATTGTCCAACAAGTTTGCCAATGTTGATTGTTTTTCCTATGATTGTCATTTCAAATCGTTAGTTTAAATTGAAGAAATAAATCTCTTAAAATTTAAACTTGCCTTTTCATTGAACTGAAACACAGACAAACGGATATGATCATCAGTTTATCGATGAAAATAACCTTTGAGTCTTCTTATCTCTATAACATTTGGTTATTAATTTGTTAAAATTAATATTCCAGATTATTATGTAGAATGGTTCATCTTTCATAAAAGAGCCAAGAACCATTACGCTACACAAGCCTGTGTTGCATTGTTATAGTGATATTTTGCTTCTTCTCATCCAGCACCTGCTTCAGCAACGACGCCTTCACGGTCTGGACGGCCCGTTCTGCAGCTCCATTCGAAGCGGGGTGGTAAGCCAGTACCAAGGTTTGTTTGATGCCGTTGTTCTGCAGAAAAGCCTTGTACTCCTGTGAGGTAAATTGTGGGCCGTTGTCTGAAACAATCTCCTCAGGGAGACCGAAGGAAGAGAAAATGTTTTGCAGCACCTCAATCGTTTTGGCTGCGGTGGTAGTTTTCATTTGGATCACCTCCAGCCATTTTGAATGACTGTCCACTAACACAAGGAAATTGTGCTTCTCTTTCTCTGCGAAGTCAATATGTATCCTCTGCCACATTCTGGTAGGCCACTGCCAGCAGTGTAGAGGTGCTGTTTCTGGAAGTTTCCTCACACTTTGACACGCGTTACATTGTTGTACTGCATGTTCTATGTCTTTATCCAGCTGAGGCCACCACAAGTAGCTCCTGGCCAAGTTTTTCATTTTGCTATCTCCAGGGTGTCCTTGGTGTAGGTCGTGCAGTAGTTGTTCTCGGTGTGTTGGTGGAATGATAACTCGAATTCCCCATAGAATGTACACTTGTTCCACTGACAGTTCATTCCTTCGGGTGAAGTATGGTTTTAGTGTCTCGTCTTTGACGTAGTTCGGCCAACCCATCCGAGTCAGCTCCAGTACTTTACTCAGGACGGGATCTTTGACAGTGTTTTGCGCAATCTCAGTAGCCTGTACAGGAAGTTCATCTACTACTGAGAAATAGAAAATTCCACCCGCTACCTGCTGGGTTGGTTTGCCATGCACTTTTAGTTTATCTCTTTTTGTCTATCTTATTCACAGTTGAATGGCTTTTTAGGTTACTTGCAAACTCCATCGTATTCTTTGATGCCATTTCCATCGATAGAGCCAGTTCACATGCTTTTGCAAATGTCAAATCCTGTTCAGTGAGCAATTTTCTCTGAATAGCCTCCACCTTTAACCCACTGACGAATCTGTCCCTCAGTGCTTTGTCTAAATGACGGCCAAAGTCACAATGTGTGGACAAGCGCTTTAATGCCACTACATAATCCAACACCGACTCATTTTCTTGCTGGTTCCTTTTTTGGAATTTAAACCGTTCAGCTATAATTAGCGGCTTTGGCTTGTAATGAGCTGTTAATTTCCGGCTCAGTTCATCATATGAGAGGCTACTAGGCTTATCTGGTATGCAGAAGTTCTTTAACAGTCCATAAGCTTCAGCGCCAATCACGGACAGAAAAACGTTGGTCTGTTTGCCATCATCCACTTCATTTACAATCATCCATTGCTCAAACCTCTCCAGGTACGACTCAAAATCCTCTTGTCCTTCCTTGTATTCTCCAAGGTTCCCAATGAATGCTGCCATGCTGCTCCAATGGCGTTAGCTTTGCTCACGTTAGCTTAGCTTAGCTTAGCCTGCCAACCTCGTGTTCAGTTACCTTCGTGTAACCACTTCCGAAACGCTCCGCAACTGGGTCTTCTTTTTTTTTCTTCTATAAGGATTATCCCATTCTCGTCGCCACTGTAGTAACTTTGACTGATGCTAAACTGTTAATATATCCATAATAGTGAAGACACCGAGAACCGCCGACATGTTCAGTCCACACGTTCTTTATTTCTCCCTGCACTTCTGCCACACACTCCATTTCACCATCTCCCCACTAGGTGGCACCATGGTACTACCAAATACATAAACTGGGCCTGGCTGAACAGTATATTGTTTCATCCCTCTAATACCTAATATATATCACTAGAAATATCGAGAAGAAATAGATGTCCCGAGCAGCTGAACAGTTAATGGAGAAACTGTTTACATTTTAGATTACATGAACGACTTGAAGAAAAGTTATGAAATGTCACCAGGATTCTTTTTTACTAGCTGATAGAAGGCTGGTGATTGTGCAGGGGAGGCTCTAACAGTTTTGCCTGGGGTCAGGTATAAGGCAGAGGGGGGAGACAGAAATACTTTTATTTCTTATTTTCATTTTAAATGTGTAGAACTTAAATCAGGGATGTCAAATTCATTATCATTTTTGGCCACATAAAGATCATGAATGCTCTTAAAGGGCCGGTTATGCAGAAAGTATTGAAAAAACTATTAATAGACTAGTAAAATATTAATAAATATGTCTCTGCATTTTAGCAGTATTACTTAAAATGAAATAATTGTGAAAATCTTCTCCCAATGATGAGATTTACGACTATTCAAATAAACACTTATTTGATATGACTATAAATTTGACATAAATAGAACTTCAAAGTTCTATTTATATTGTCCTCCATGAGATGCTGTTTGTAAAGTTACACAGTTAATTTCAACAATAATGTTGGTTATTTAGCCTGTCATATGAGAAATTAAAAGGAAATTAATATTTCAAAGTCATTGTTTATTCATTAAGAAATGTTTCAACTTCAAAATATTTGGTAAAACATTTAACATTTATAAAAACATGTATACTTAGTTTGCAAGTGAAATATTTAGTTAAAAAGTGAAATATTTTGGTAAGAAGATACATATTTGGTTTGTAAACAAAATATTTAGTTAAATAGTTAAATATTTCGTTTGGATGCTAAATATATAGTTAAGAAGGTAAATATTTAGTTTGTAATCAAAGTATTTAGTTCAAAAGTTAAATATTTAGTTTGGATGATAAATATTAACTTAAAGTTAAATATTTAGTTAAGAAGGTAAGAATTTCATTTGTAAACAAAATATTTCATAATTAATTATTAATAATGAATTATTTTTCTGAACAAATTTTCAGAAATGTACAGTAGAATTAAATACAAATAATCATAAGTTAGTGTTTGTGGAGACTTTAATATAGATATTCTAAATGCACACAATCATACACAAATAATTTATTAATTATGTGTTTTGTTAAAGATTCTGTCCAACAATTACACACCCTAACAGGATAGCTATAAATACTGCAACTCGTATTAACAACAGGCCCGGGCCTGTATTTTACGCAAGCTCATCAAGCTCCAGGCCTTTATTGGAAGGAGGGCCAGAATTAGAGGCAGGCTTCAATTTCTATTTGAGCAAAATGAACTAATGGTTCGCTGGAGTTTTTGACAATTAAAATTGCGCCCACATTTTCTAAGTTAAACACATTTCTTTTAACAACGGTAGTTTCTGCTTTAGCCCTCTCCCCCCTCCCCCTGCGCAGCGGACGCAAACTCACTGATGCGCCTGCAGCCTCTCGGAGTTCCTGCTGCTCTAAACATTAAAATAATTATTTCATTTTCTGTTCCTCACTTCTGATTACCTTCAATGGTGTCTGTTTGTTGCAACCACCAGGTACAAAAACTAACTTGTTTTTATTCGACTATTTTTCTGTCCTGTCTGTTTATTATCTTCCTGCATCTCCTCTCAATCCTAAAGAAAAACTGCTACCTGGGTTCATATATATTCACCTTATGAGTTACCTTTGAACTGCAGTTCTAAAAGATCTACCGACCGCAAAACCAGCGGGGTGCGTGCTGCTCGCCGGCAGCACCGGTGAGGTCCGTCACCGGAGGACAAGGTGATGCGCCCTGTTCCACAGCAGCGAAAAGCATCAGGCACGAATAAAAGAATAAAAGACAGAAAACATAAAAGGAAATGAGCCGACATGAACGATCTCGTGTTAAATTAGTTTTTGAGGTGGCGACATCTGATTTGATAATGTTACTGTGGCCATGCTCAGGACGCAGACGTCTGGAGCGCGTCAACGATCAGAGCTTTGCATGTGCAAGCTGGTTAAGGTTAGGATGGGGGTGAGAGGAAGGTTAAATAGCAAGAGGGTAAACGTCACAATTTGGTTAAATGTCCATTTTACGGCCGGTGTCAGTACCGACGCTCTGGCACAACGCGTTGCCTCCCGACGAGCAG